TGGGGATGGCTGCTGGGGGCCCTGAATGCGGGGCTGCGACCCACCATTGAGAGCATCTTATTTACATCTCTAGAGGAGCAAAGTCTCTGAACTTCAAAACCTCCTTTCACAGATTAACCGTCTCCCCATTCTCCGCTCCACCCTGTGACTTTGACACCACATTCAAAGCCGCTGGCGCGGCCCTCCCCAGCCCCCGGCCCTCCTTCCCAAAGAGGGGCCTTTTCAAGTGCAAAGCCACGGGGTTTAATCCTCCTTCCCCTCTCCCATGGGCCGGACCCGGAGCAGCATTGCCCGCATGGGGCTCAGCCCCTCGCCGCAACGGGGAGAACCCCCCACCAAAAGCGCCGAGCGGCGCTCCCCACTTCAGGGGGCTCTGAAATTTAAGGAGTTCATTCTCAGCTCCTTCCCAGTTTGAGCCGGGATGCACCCTGGCTTGGTTTCCACCGCGACGGCGGTGGGACGGATGCCGCGTACCGGTGGGGCACTCGCAGTGGAACTCGTTGATTTTGTCGAGGCAGTTGCCGTTGTGCAGGCAGGGGCTGCTGGCACACTCATCCGTGTTGATCTCGCAGTAAACCCCCTCATAACCTGCGGAGAGACCCGGCGCACCGTCAGCGCCGCGGCACGGGACCAACACAACGCGCAGGACGGGCAGCTTACGCCGGGGTGTATTTGGTCCCTCCATCTTTACAAAGGCAACTCGGGAGCTGCGCTACAGGTGGTGGGACCTCACGCACGAGCTGCTCCACGGTTTTTCACCGTAGATCTCCCTGCCCTTGGCTCGACCCCAGCCAGCAAGCTCGGCAAGAGGAGGAGTGCAGAGCAGGGCTAACGCTGCCCAACTCTCACCTCCCAGCCCCCCACCGCTGCGGGACACACATGAGATCTTTACCAAGCTCTTTCTTTTCATTGCTGTCCCCAGGCACCCGCACCTCCCGTGGCTTCTCACCCAAACCACCACCGAGCTGAAGGTCAGGGGCACCCGGAGCCCTCCCGCCGCCCGCACCCAGCACCGGGGCAGGGGGCCGCGGGGCCGCCCACCCACCGGGCATGCAGATGCACTGGAACTCCCCGATCTGGTCCAGGCAGGTGGCATCGTTCTGGCAGGGGTTGGAGAGGCACTCGTTGACATCAATCTCGCAGCGAGGGCCCGAGTAGCCCTGCAGACACTGGCACTGGAAGGACCCTTGGGTGTTGATGCATTTCCCTGCGTGCTCGCAAGGGTTGGCTCCTGCAAAACACAAGCATGTCTTACAGGACACGCTCCAGGCTGCACGTGAGCTCCCGGCTGCACCGGTGCTCTCCCCAGCTGCTCCTTGTCTGCCCACAGGAGCCCAGTCCCGGCGCTCACCCAGCGAGCACTCGTCCACGTCCTGGTTGCAGGCTGGTCCCATGTACCCCGAAGGACATGTGCAGATGGCTTTGCCGTTGACGGGGTTGGTGTCGCAGTTGGAGCCCTCGTTGCAGGGGTTGCTGATGCAGGCGTCATCAAGGTGGCACAGCAAACCTGGGCAGCGAAAGGCAGGCGCAGGTCAAGGGTGATGGGCACACAAGTCATCGCACACCGAGACCTCAGCTAGGAGCCAGGGGATATGCTGGGAGCTGCCACCCCACTCCGTGAGCAGGGGGCAAGTTGGGAAGGGACCTCACCTGTGCGGCCGTGGGGGCACTCGCAGTAGAAGGAGGCCACCCGGTCGTGGCAGGTGGCCCCGTGGAAGCAGGCGGCCATAGCACAGTCATCGATGTTCTCGCTGCAGTCCTCGCCCGTCCAGCCGTTGACGCAGACACAGTTGTAGCCACCGTGGTTGTTGTGGCAGGTACCCCCATTCTGGCAGGCGTTGGGCATCAGCTGGCACTCGTCCACGTCCTCGGTGCAGTACTGACCTGCCAAGGGACAGGGCACCCATGTGAGGCTGGGGCTGCCCATCTCCTGCGAGCTCTGCAAGCATTGCTGCGAAGCAGGACGGCTCTCCTCACCCCATCCCTGACATCCCCCAGGGCAGGATCCATCCCCCCAGCCCAGCCCTGTGCCACCCTCGCTGCTGGCAGCGGCGTTACCTGTCCACTCGGGTGGGCACTGGCAGTTGTAGGTGTTGACACCGTCCACGCAGGTGCCCCCATTCTTGCAGTTGTTGCCTGGACAGTCATTGATGTTCTCCTCACAGTTCTGACCCGTGAACCCTGTGCAGAGGAGATGTCTGCTGTGATGCCGACCAACAACCGGCTGTGCCACTGCCTCAACCCCCCGCCATCCCCCCGCCGACGGCGGGTTGCTCGTTATCGGGCGCTGAGCGTGTGCCAGGCGCTCCCAGCCCGACTTTGAAGCTCCATTTCATCCCCAGCCCCGTCCTGCCTCTGCCGGGGCTCGGTTCAGCCGCACAGGTTTTCCTGCCAGGGCGCCATCGCCGGAGCCTGCCGAGCGGCAGGGGGGTCCTCACA